ATATATATATATATATATATATAAAATTTCAATCGTTTTATTTCAACGAGTTTTTGCGTGTTTGGAAAATCATTCACAATTGAGAGTCAGATATAATATTAAACGAAAATCCATATTACTCTCGTTCGGACGAACGAATTAAATTTCCAGAAGAACATCGCAGTTCGCCAAACATGAGACAAGTTGTTAATTTTATATAAACTGGCAGTGGACAATTTTGCAAATAAAATGAGATTACCGTGAGTAAAGCGTCCTTTTAAAATTTATACAATGTTTACGCAATATAATACGCAATTTGCATATATAATTTTGCATATACGATTTTTATAAAAGATGCTACCGTAATTTCCCACTTCTGTATCAAATTTTCATAATTATTTCATATAAAATTGTTCTTCGTTTCTTTTTTTGAATATATACTTATTTTAATGTTTAATTATTTACGCAATATATTTATTCAAATGTTACTTATTTTTATGCTTACTTCGTAATACTTGTTCTGGAATATCTGTTTCTAATATTTGTTTCATAATATTTGTATAATTATATCCTGAATGCGTTGAATCAACTGAAAGTGTATGCACTTATATTTGTACGACGAATGACAAGGAAAATCGACAGATTTGTGCATTAATAATATTCGTTATCAATTAGCACAATAGTCTTTATGACAATGGGAAAATCACGAGAATGTTCGAAGTAGAAAACTCAAGAGTAGAACTTGCTTTAAGGATTTTTAATATTTTAGTAGGCGTAAAAGCATCTAAGTATTTTATTCGCAAACAAACGAAGCGGAAACATAAGATTTATTATTAATTCTTAATTGGTACGATAGGATATTGGGTTGACATAAATTTAGATCACTTAATTTTGGAACGTTTAATTAAATTTAATTTTATTATTGGTCTGTATCAACGAAAATCCAGAATATGAAATAAAATTCAACAATCAGTCACAGATACATCAGTTTTCAAATATTTAAAAAAAGAAGAAGGGTTCTGGACATTTTGTTGTTAATTAGTTTAGTTGCAATTAAACCAAATTCTAAAATATTATCAGTGTTTTTTTATACTTATTTAAGAGATTGTATAAATAAATTGAATATACAATCTTATGAAAATCTATTTATTGTATGTTTTATTTAATCGTTGTATGTTCAATTTTTAATTATATAATTATATAATATCAAGAAAAAGAATACATAAATATCCATAAAAATTCTACTCATGGTAATTCTGTAGTAAATTTTTGTATTTTTGTTTCTCATTTGCTTATTTATGGTTTTCACTACACAAATACTTTTAGAATCATAAAATTAGTAATAAATAAATCAGTTCCTATAAAATGTATAAAATCCTAATTTTTCTTATTTCTTTCCAATATTTGAAATTTGGAAAATATATATTGACTGTAGTTCTGTGTCTGATTGTACAAAATTCAGTAATCTATTATTACTTATTGGTATTATACAAATACAAATTTCAGTAATCTATTATTACTTATTGGTATTATGTGAGACTTAGACTTCATTTCATTTAGAATAATTGTTATCGATATACTGGTAAAATTATATTATTATAGTACAAATATTATTGGTAAGTGTATCTTTTTCTTATGGAAGATTCTAAATTTTCTAATTTATTTTTAACAAGCATAACGTTTCTGTAATCAATAATTTTAACGTATCGCGTCATTGATGATAATGAGTATACAGGAGATAATGCAAGAATAATATTACACATTATAACACATAAGAATAATATTAGTATAATATTTAGTAGATGAAACTTTTTTAAATTATGTTTATAAAAATATAAAAATGCATAAGAATCCACAGTCCATGTTATTTTCTATTATAAATGGGATGGAGAAGGAACAATGGGGATCATTTTCTGTGACTGTACGATTAAGATTTCGATTTACCGAAGGAGTTGTATAATGAATAAGCTCTTCGAATGAGACGTTTGTGTCTAATGAAACTTGTTTCGATTTCGCGAATTTAAACTTTCTAGGAATAACTATTCTTGGTTACTTAGTATTCATCGTTTTAATTATCTACTGCTTTGTTTTGTACAGAGTATGTTACATATGTTTCTATGCTAAACTATAATTAAATCTTCAAAATTTACAGAATTGTCATAGTCTCGATCGTCAATTCTTAAAATTAGTTGAAAACTCTACGCGAAGAAAAAAACCTAGACTAAGTTATTTGACTTCTGAATTTGAAATTAAACCCTCGCTGACATTCCACCAAATGTTTATTCTGTACAAACAAAAATTTACAATATTTTGCATTGCAGATGTAGACATTTTTTGGTTGACTCAAATGGTGTATGAAGTGATACGGCTTCTATTTTGCAGAAAAGAAGGGGAAAAAATGACTAAACAGAAGCTTTTAGTAAGTAAATAAAAAAAAACGATCTCGACGATTGAATATACAAAATATTTGAAAAATCTGGTTTTATTCTTTATAAATCACAGTTGTTTGGATCACATATTTTCTATTGTTTTCTTTTTGAGTATGTGTAGAATGTTTGGCAAAAAAATTTATTTTTTCCTTAGAGTTAATTATTAGTTTTTTTTAGAAAGAATATTTTTCACTTTTTTAAATATCTTTTAGTAATATACTACCGATCAATTATATGTACTTTATATTTCCTCTTATTGGTATTACGAAGGAAATTAGAGCTAATAGTCTCGCAATGACACAATTATTTACAGTTATAGATTATTATTAAAGCTAAATAATGTTCTTTTTTGGCAAAAGATATTATACTTTCAAAATTAAAGCTTTTTTTAATAGCTCTTAATAAAATATCTTTATATCATTATGAAAATACAATTTTCTGATATTTTTTCTTTTTTTAACAAAATTTGCGGAGATAAACTTTAGGATATACAGGAATTACAGAAATACGGAAGTAGAAAAAGTAGACTCTGAATCCAATCAAGATTTGTAACATAAAACCATTCCAAATTCCAATAGTTACAGAGATACAGAAACAATAATAAAAAGTTTGGATTTATATTGAAAAGTATTTGTGTGAAAATGTTGAACAATTTCTTCGAGAAGTTCCAAGAGTTCGACAGAATGTGTACGACGGAATTGCAATCACTTGGAAAGATTTTCATGCTGAAAGATTAGAACACGTTTCAAACTTCTCTTCTTCGAATGAACTACAAACAAAACCATAAAATCAGAATTAAACTAAAATCTACTTTAAAGCGACCTTAAAGACAATTCTGCATTGCGTAAATGTTCGTTCCTCTTTCTAACAAGTTCCCCATCAATCTTTAAAGATTGTGTGTTATATAACCATAAGTATAGTTGCTCACAAAAACATTTGAATACTTGTAGGAATTTTTTATCAATATATTATATATTATATATCAATATGTTATATAAAACACTTTGACATTTAATTAATACTATGATCATGATTATATTGTTCAAGTTTAAAGCGAATTTAGAACTATATGTAGAAATGCGAGATACTTGATACAAGTATTTTGTAGAGATCATAAAAGTATTTAAACAACCATAATTTGTTATATCAACAAGTCTTAATATTCAATCTGGTCATCTATCATGCACTTAAGATAGTCATTCATGCTGCGTAAATTTCTTATTAAATATATATTCCTAATTAATATCTTTACTAATTTTTACTTATGTACATTTTCAAATTGGTTTCGAATACTTTCGTGTATAAGTCGCATAAAATTTCAAAAAGTTCACGTAACAATTTCCTTGACAATGAGACAAACGTTTCGTTATTTCGAATTCAATTTATTATCTTTATATCATTATCACTTCCATGAATGTATAAAAGTCACGAAACATAGTTTTTACATTGTAAAC